TACATTAGGAGGAACCAAGACAAGCTATGTGATATTTAATATGTTTAAAAGATTTAAGTACAAAATCCATTACCTGCTCTGAGATGTTCCACGGAATGAGATCTCCTGAGGCTTTTTTCCCTCTAGACAGGCTGTTCATAATAGATTGTCGTGATATCTCACCCTCCAAACATACCTGCAGGAATAAAGGGAAGATAAGTTTCAGTTCTTCAGTGGTACATTATGTAGCATTTTTTTTAACCAAAATTGTACATCAGGTATAGATTACTTAAAAGAGTAACAGAAGTACCAGAAGGTATAGATTAATAAAAAGAGTACAGGAAGTACTATAATTTTCTATTAGTAACTAGAAAGACTAATCCAATCTCCTGGCTTACTCTGTTCCCTCAAAACAGAGGTAGAAATTGTTGGTAACAAGAGTTTTGATTCTGACATGTTTTACAATTCCAAAAGTATTAATAAAAGTCTACCTTAATTGAGAAATCAGTAACACATATGCTTTGGGTTTAACAACTCTGAAACACTGTAGCTAAAACAGATTCCCAATTCTTTGCTCACAGGATGGATAACATGACAAATTTCTTCCCTGGAACCAATGAAGAAAAGATACAAATTCCCTAGAGAAAGATTCAGAGTCTTTATTTATTGATTTCTCTAGTTCTGCTTCTTGTCTCATTAAATTAATTACTTCGGTTACTTGAAAACATCCTTCTTACCTGGACCACAGCAAGGACTTCAGGCAAGGAATTTTGAGTAGGTGGCACCGGTGGCAAAAGGCAAAAAAGATGATGGGCTGGAGCATCCGAAAGCATCTGGAGGTCATTAGGAGAATTCTGGAAGGTTGCAACCACGTTAGAGAATTAGATCTCGGTCATTCAAGCATGCTTCATTAATTCAAGGTATCGGTTATGATACTTTCTTTATTCAAAGTGATACTTTCTTTATTCAAAGCCCCATGACTTTGAATGAGACTTTCTTTATTCAAAGCCCCATGACTTTGAAACACTCTATTATTCTCAATTCATTCCCATAAGCCGGAAGCTGACCAAAAAATCATGCTGTATGTTCCTGTATGACCCAATGTGGCCTCCATATTTAACATTATCTTTACTATGCATTCTTCTTTCAAATCTTAGCAAACTTTATTTCCTAGAATCATATACAGGTAGTTCTTAATGTATGACCACAATTGGGATTAGAACGTCCGTTGCGAACTGATGCGGCCATCAGGTGAGTCATGCTGTTGTTAAGCAAATCTGGCTTCTCCCATTTACTCGGCCTCTCAGAAGCTCCCTGCAAATGGTGATCCCAGAATGCTACAACCATCATAAATACACACTCAAATTCTGATCATTTGGCTCTTGGGACACTGTGATGGTTGTAAGTGCAAGGACTAGCGAAGGCATTAGGCTAGAAACCAGAGGACAGTTATTTCAGTCCAATATTGGGGAGGAGGAGGAAGAGGAGGAGGAGGGAGTGACCCCACCATTTTTCTTCTAAGTCCAAGCTGAAAATAACACATGATCACTAACCTTGTAGTGAGAAGCCACATACAGGGACATTAATCTCTGAAGAAACGTTTCTGACGCTCTGTGATAACAGAACAGAGTGTCTCTGTTCACATAGTATCTGAGGGTCATCCTTGAGTTAAGTGACAAATTCCTTATTTGTCTTTGAAAGCTAGAAGGAAGCCAAAATTTTCTTCAATGATGACAGACTGCCATTGTCCAAACACATTTGCTAATGTCCAACACATTTCATAGGCAGTGAAAAGCAGAGGAAGTAAATAGCTATTGTTACCAATTGTGTTTCTAAGTCTGTGTAAATTTTTAAGATCTGCAAATATTGGTAGAAAGGTAGTAGGTACTATGAAGCTTGTTGCCCCAAAATGAATGAGCTAAGAGTGCATTTACTTTGCTGCATGGAAGTGAGGGACTGGGGTATGTCAGGAGAAGCATAAGAGTTGAATGCAATGGCAATGGGACATCTAAGTAGTGTAGGCGATAAAACAAAAGGCAGAATCAAGAATGAATAAGTGTTGAACAAATGAGCTAAATGCAAAAATGAAGGATCAACACAAAAAAAGGTCACATTTTTTAAAAGAAGTGAGGAGTTTAAAGAACAAAAGGTAACTAATGAATTCACATATGGAAGATGTGGAACCAGGCACAAAAATGTAGGAAGAGTTACTGTGAATGGTACTGTGAATAGTTATAGCTACCGTTTCTTTTATTTTTCTTACTTCGTGTTATTCAATTTCTTTCATTTACTACTTCTTGCTCCTTTTCTATCCTTTGCATAATGTTTTTCCTAAACGGGAACAGTGTGATGGGAATATAGATATGACCACAATAGCTGCACTTAAGTTTGAGAATTAGCACAAGGATACAAATCACAGGTTTCAGGCAATGGACAACCAGATATAATTCTCGTGATGTTGAGACAATCCAAGCATAGCAAATCATTCAGCCACTTTTCCACTGGATCTCCCGGAGCATATCTAATGGATTCCTGAAGCGAAACTTCATGCAATGTACGGGCTGGGGAGAGATGATATACAAAAGGTCACATACACAAAGATCTAAACATCTCTTTTGTCGGGAAAAGAAAAAAAAGTGGTCAGAAAAACAAGACCTGTAGCTGGTGCAGGTAGTCCTCATCTTACAACAGTTCAAAGGTACAACAGCACTGAAAAAAGTGGCCATTTTTCACACTTACAGTCATTATAGCATCCCCATGGTCACATGAATGAAATTTGGATGCTTGACAACTGACTCATATATATGCCCCAGGGTCATGTGATCATGTCCAGGTCAATTGGAAAGTCAGATTCATTTAACAACCATGTTACTAGCTTAACAACTGCAGTGATTCACTTAGCAACTGTGACAAGAAAGATTGTCAAATAGGGCCAAATTCACTTAACAAATGTTAAGTGTTAGCAACAGAAATTTTGGCCTCAATTGTGGTCGTAAGTCGAGAACTACCTATATTCTGTAGAATTATTCCTAGCCTTATCCTTAGCCTTAAGTGGCACATTATAACTATTCATGCTTTAACCTAATGACGGGTCACGTAGATTAAGTCACAGTTTTTAAGAGATAATTTAACCAATCCACAATTGGTTGGTTTGATACAACATGCTAAACCATAAACTCTTTGGGTCACAAACCACAATGCCTGGGCATGCACAATCTGACAAGTCAAAAGTCTAACTCTTCTACATTACATCAGTAATGTGTGGAACCGTAACCTCAATAGCTGATGGGTTTGAAGAAACAAGAGACCTGTCATCTAACAGAGAAAAAACAAGCCCATCAACTATAAAAGAAAGCAGACCCACCACCCAAGATCTGTTCAATTGTCATGAAGGTTATCTAAGAGCAAAGACAGCTCATGGAAAAGTGATAGTTTTCTGTGATTCTCCTTACTTTCTCCTGTATATTCTTTTAAAAAATGTAAAGCTCAGTTAAGCAACACAGCCATGATCGTACTGGAGGTTCTAGTTTCAGAGAGATACCTGAGGACAGTTTAGCTGCAGTGGTTATTTTGTTCTCTGCAGTTATGCTGGCTTGGGCCTGTGCACTCTCTTGTCGTAACTGTTGGATCAGTTTCAAGGACAAGGAACGGCCGGTGCCCTCATATCTATTCAAAACAACAGACAGAACAGTCAGATGGGAACAGATAAAAGAACAAGCACAGCAGCTGTTTAAATTATGATATAAGCAGATTAATCCAAATACTGTTCTAAAGATGTAATATTTCTGGAAATGTTGAAATCATAGGGACAAAATGCCAGATTTATTATTGTTCTGTTTTTAAGACTGAGAAAGGACAGAAATTCTTTAAAAACATTGGAATGAATACAACCTTTCAGTCAAATGTCAGTTTATCTCAAAATATAGAAAAAAATAAAATGCATCATTCATAACTTTGCCTAACAATTGTGTTAATCTGCTTCCAAAGAAAATGGTGGACCTAACTTGGGATACAATAATAAATTAATCAATTAAGAAACTCTGGAAAGTTCCCTGATTGCAATGCCAACTGGTCAATTCTTTGCTTTTTTTTCTATTCTTCTCCTGTCAAACATCTAATAACACTTCACCTCTTGTTTTACCATTACCAATTCTGAAATAAATCAGTGTCGAAATAACATTCTAAAACCTTTCTTTTAACTCAAATATTTAGTATTTTTTTCTTAACACTAAAACTACTTACATAAGCGGTGTGTGTGTGTGTGTGTGTGTGTGTTTGAACAATAGTAAGGAATAATGTGAAAATAACCATGCCAAATAGATAAAACAATCCCTTATTACTAATGGGCCAGACATTCACGAATGTTTATTATTTGTTGATTCTATTACCCAATGGCAACTGCATGTGTGTGACTCAGCCATAACTGACTGTCATCAGAGACAGGTGTTTTATATCACTGGATATTAATTCCAGTACAAAATATTTAGAGAAAGGAGTTCACTAACTTAACAGATGAAGCATAGTATTTTCCATCTGAGATTCAAAAAACAACAACAAAAAGTGTATTCTTCATAATTTTCAGAAACAGTGGATCAACAGCCTTTGGAGATCACTTTAGCCAGTAAAGCTTACCCATTGATTGTAGAAGCCATGAAGACCAGATAAGGGCCCAATAGGTTCTTTACCAAAGGAAGGGGAATGGCAGCAGCTTCATCAATTACCACAAGTTCAGCCTGCCCGAGTTTCACAGCATCGGCAGGATGGATATACTGGGGGGGAAAGGGAAAGGGTAGACATCATAAACTGCCTTTC